TAACAACAAGCAGCAGCAACAGGGTGGGTGCGGAGTTCAACATCAACAAAGATACGTGGAATGCCAATGTGCAGTCGTATACCAAATACCGTTTACTTGTGGGAAAGTGTATGTGGGTCAGACAGGAAGGTGTGTCAACGATCGTCTAAGAGAACATGCCGTGTCACTAAAGTCGTCGCCAGCAGGCCACTTTGCCATACATGTCAGGGACTGCCAGTGCTCCGCCTTGTTCAGGAAAACAAAAATCCTGAAACGTTTCGCGGAACGACGAACTCGCGAGCTCTATGAGGCACAGGTTATTCTGTCCAGTGGGGATGCCGGCGTAAGCGCGCCGTCCGTGGCCTTGTCACCAAAAGAACTTTACTTTTTAAGTCGCGATCGTTAACGATCCTTAGCATCTGTGAATATCTAAACGTAAACTTCCTCTTTCTTTTTTCTACCGGAGTTTCTATTCACGTCGTCCCAGGACTCAATCGTTTTCAACAAGTCATTTAAGCGAGCAGCTTAAAGCTTGGTATTCTTAGCATTTCATTTGCAGGCAACTCAAGCTATAGCATATGTTTTTGCGGGTTTTTATTATTCATGTTTTAAAAGCATTCTTGGGTTCTTTTTCCTCTTTCTCCTTTTCATTAAACGTCAGTTGTTAGTTCAGCGCTCTATCCTGTATCCCTTGTCTCTCCTTCCTTGTCGTATTTGCGCTGTTAATTCAACAGTTTGTATAACGTTTCTTCTCAATGCTGTTAAGTTGCGATGGTTTTATTTTTTTTATTGGCCAAGTTGTGTTCCTTTGCTATTGGTTTATCGCTTTCTGATTGCAATTTAGTTGGTTGCCTGGCCCACATAGAAGCAGAATGCTTCTTACATTGGCCAGAATATATTGTTCGGAAATAAATCGTATTGCTAACCAGAGTCGAAGACCCCCGGCTAGAGAGGTACTGCGCTGGCTATATATCTTATGTAGTGCCAAAACATCAAACAACGATTGTGGCTGACTAACTTCCTCCTGTCTAAACATACACGCAACACAATTCCTGGACAGACAACTGAAATCTGACACATTGCAAAAATTAGTAAATGCTCGCTTTGTAAACGTAATCAAACAGCTATGACGATTGGGTGCGGCCAGTAGTTGTGCACCACTGTAGTGGCCTGCTTAGAGAAAGAACAAAAATAAGTAAAAGATTATTAAATAAAAAAAACGCAGCTAGTTGGCGCATGTTTTTTTTTATTAGGCTTTTACTGATAATGTGTGTAAATGGTTTATTCTTGATGTCCCTTCATGATCTTAAATTGATTTTTATAGATCTTTATCTACCGTCAGGTCAGTGTTTTTATAAGAGAAACAAGTAACGACCCTACTTATTTTCAAACATAGTGTTATTAAGTGACGATCCCCAATACTACCGCTATAATCTAAGTTGGAAACTACGAAATTTTTTGAAGAGATAAAAAAACACAAACTATCCGTTACTGATAGCAGTCTACTTCCCAAGTCTGCGTTCGAAGGTGGATCGCACCTTCGTCACTGGCGAGAGACTTCAAGGGGAATAGTAATATGAGCTGGCCCAGAGGCGTCCTAGCCGGGGCAGCTGGAACGCCATGTGGATACGCCTGGTTACGTTAAACTGCCAAAGGATAAGCCGAAGTCAATTTGAAATTTTTGGTTGTTACGATCCTGAAGGTCAGTTTTATCATTTAGTATGCCGGAGGCACCCCCATGCGACAATTTACAGTTTTCGGCTTTTACTGAACTGGGTGAGCTTATGCTGTCGCCGCCTGTTCACTGTACCTTTAGTTGTACATTATAAAATTATCTGAATCGTCGACATTTTCGCAAGCCACTTAGACAGCCATTAGTTGAAACCTACAGAGGAAGCTCAGGGAATGACGAGCCTGAAAATATCTTTAGACCTAGTTTTTACATATTCGTTACCTGTTCATATTCCACAAACGAGTTTTCGTTTTTTAATCAATATTAAAATTTGACAATATTTTAAATATCGATTAACTGGGCGTCGCCCTGACGCCTCTGAAGGGGTAACAAATATTCCGGGAGCGCTGGGCTCCGTTGGCGTGGATGAAAGAATGGAGGACCAAACAATTGCAATCGAAAGCGACGAGATTTAAAAATTAGTGGAGAAGATCCAGACAAGCGTGGTTCCTCTGATTATGCACACAATTGGTGAAGTATATAATTTAACGCGAAACGAAATTTATAGTAACATTTAAAGCGGAGGAGTGTAAATGTTTTGAGTCTAGGTGGCGCAAGCTACCACCCTATTTAGAGTCTAAGACCATAACATCCATCCATTCGTTTATCCTATGAAAGAAGACATACTCTTGCTGTAAGTAGTCATCTTTCATCTTAACAATTCCTCGCAAGAAAGGAGCGAATTGAAAAGGAGACTACTCATCAGGTGGGTTGGCCACAAGACTTAGCGTGTTTGTCATGGCGATGAGACTCCGGAAAAGAAAAACCAATATTTGGCTAGGGAAAAAGAAACAAAGTGGGCTTGTTCTGGCTTGTTGAGTTTCGACTAAGCGCTGGATAAGGGAACGATGCTCGCCTCCCTTAATTCAGCGGAATACGGCCTTCGTAGAAGAAACGTCCGAATTGCCGTCTCATTTCAACGTAGCGTGCATTCGCGTCAGACTATGTCCGTAGCACCGCAGAGACACAGCCCCATTTTTAATGCGTTAGCATTAGAACGCTCGGTTTGACGAAAACCCGACGACGTCTTTCGTTTGTCAGTTGTCACGGGCGACACTCCTACTGGTTCAAAGCGCTGACGTGACCACATGTCAACCTCTCGCTCTCTCCGCGGCGTTGACCAACTGACAAACACCGCCGGGTTTTCGTTAAAACTAGACACTTCGTTTCCGGCAAAGTCACTCAAACAGCTAACTCGGAGAGAGAGATGACGACTCGCCGCACCCCACTTCCTAAATAACAATGCCGAAGTGCTGAATGATATGGTTTAATCAGGGACGTCAAACGATGGACACAGATTGGAAACGAGTGCTGCGTCAGCGCTCGGCTTGGATTCAAGTTTGGGCCGAACGTTGAAACAGTCGTCGTGTCCAATCTGTGCCGAGCGTTGGCCTTCTCTGATGGCACCATCTTATTCAACGCTACGACTTCGTTATCTCGGAGGTGTTGCGCCGCAGCGCGGTGGAATGCGGGCGTGCTCAGTTGCCGCTCTGCTGTCGAGGGTTCTTCGCTCTGGCTTTCGGTAGTAGCGTTGAGTGGACTGCGATGTTTGTGTGTAGTTAAAAAGATGGATGCGGTTCACTCGAAGAGTGATTTGGCTTTGGTTCCCTCCCCGAGTGGTATGGATATGGGTATTTCCACGAGTGATATTGATGACAGTATCTAAGGGCGTCGACGTACGCTGACAGCTAAGGCACAAAAAATGAGTGAAACAAATTACAGGAAGATCCATCGGTGGATTTTTAGAGAAGCCGTTAACATATGTCTATTGGGAAAAGACACAAACGTTCCCCTTTTGGAAACGCTAAGACTGACCCCGTAACGAGCCCAGAATGAGACAGGAAAAAATAGGGCAAGCAAAAGAGAAAGTCAGAAGAAAAAGTGAAGGGGCTAGCGTTAGCGTTTCTTAAACTGGGACGTGTGTGGCGTTTCCAGTGATCATGGTAACGCATTCGTGAAGAGCCCACCAAAGGATCTTCTTGTAATTTGTTTTTTGTCAGAAATTCTGCACTGTACCTTCGAAGTGAAAAATCTTAAATGTTTAACAACTTTCATGCTTCAAACACGTATATTATCAAGTAAAACAATATAAGAACGTACAAGAACCTTATAAGACTATTTAAGAAAAGTATTTGATTAGCTAGGAAGTTATAAGAAACTGATAAAAAGTTTCTTATAATTTCTTATATAATTTTAAATTGTTCTTTTATTACCTTATAAGGTTATTCTACGTTCTTATTTGATCTTATTTGGTTATATGCATTTATTAGACCAAGAAGTATAATATACATATAAGATTTATTATTAGGGCTAATATATCATATCAGAGCTGCGGACTGTTATGCATAAATCGTGAATAAAAAAATACAGTATGCGATGCAACACTGAGCATGGTAAAACTTTGTGCTCTGTGTCCAGCTCATACTGTTTTCTTAATTCTAAACATATACTTAGCTTTGTCATTCATCGACTTAATTCCCTTTGAAATTTGGAGCGATTGGCATTGTCGATTGCTATAAGGCAGATTATACACTCCAGCTTTCTGAAAGTGTGGTTGCAGTCAAAATTTTGATGACTGAACGTTTCTTCTTGGGTCTTATTTGTCGACTATTTTATTATTCGTGATAGCGTAAGTTTTTCCGTGTTTCAGAAGAATATCCCATGCTCACACTGTGCGCAATTTAAACGAGTCCATCAGAAGACCGATGTCAGCGCCGAGAATTAAAGCGCGTGACGTTCCTGGGTGCAGTAACTAGAAGGTTGCTGATGTTATGACGAAAACTACAAAAAGTAGAGAACTTCGAAAACAAGGGTTCCATGTAAATACAGATAAAATATTGTTTAGGTATTGTATTGTGAATATTTCTTGTTTGATGTACGAGCTTGATCAGTAAAATCTGATGACCACTGTTTTTGCGCAGGTGTTGTTGTGTATTCTGGTATAAAAACAAAACGGCCGTTAAACCCATAGCATGTGCGTGTTCCCTCCATATACGTATGATTCACTTTTTTTAGCACCAAATTAATTTCTCCGACGCCAGAATGATCTTACACTGCGCTTTTTTGTTTTGTTTTAGTTTTGTATTTGTTGCACACTAAAAACAACTGGTCGAATATGCATCAAAAATATAGAAAGTGGAAGCTGGCAATGTCTTGCGTTTCCGCTAATGCATCAACACTCATAGTATAAAAAGCCCTGGGTTTTGTTGCAAAAGACATCTCCGCCCTTGGACGTTCCGACACTTCAAATTTGAGTTGCTAGTCACCGGCAAGGTTGTTACAGTCAACAATGCATTTCATTTTCATGGTGAGCGTTGTCATTCTGGCCTGCAGCGTTTTGAACACCCAAGGTAAATTACACATACTTTTAATTTTGTTTCACTTCTGCTTCATATTTGTGCAAATGGGCTATCTCCCTAGAATGTTCGAGCATTGCGTATACAGGGAAGGTCGTGAGCGTTATTTGTGGAGGATATTCGCATGGGTAAATTTGAGATAGATACCAGTGCGTCTGGACTTCAAAACGCCAGGCAGTTTTTGAGCTAAGCAGCAACGAAAGATGTTGACGTTTCCACAGTATCTGTTTTTATGAATAAAAAAGAAAGATATGTTTTAAGAAAATATTTACTTGAGTTCGGTTGAAGATATAACAAAAATACTTCCACTTTTATCTTTGCATGCAAAAAGGTGTACTAAAGTGTACATAAATAAAGAGGACATATGAGTTATTCTGGTGCACACTTGGTAATCGTGTTTTGGGGGTTTACCCTATTAAACGTGGAAAAGAAACAAAAATAAAAATTTTATTATAGAGCAAGATTTCTATGAGCTTCCAACCACAGAAATATACCGGTAGACTTACTGCTATTTATGAACAAATTGAATATGTTAGCGATAACCCCGAAATTTACTTCTCACTACCCTAGGAATTTTGTTGGTATTAACTATAGTAAACAATACAAACTGCCCAGCTGAAACCCTTATTGTTTCTAATGAAACAGCGCTTATGTTCTGTTTGTTTATCCAATATTGTTTAACGCCTTCATATATCCAAGATAGGGTTAGTCACATATTATCATACTTTGGTTGCGAGCACATTTGAAACATTTGAAACATTTCTTTATTTCCATCAACGATGGGGGAAAACCAAAGAAAAAAAGCTGCGATTTGCAGCTTGACCGGCCCACAAATATAGTATTAAACAAACTACTTTAGTGTGGACGTAAACTTGTCGAGAACTACCTAGTCTCGTATTGAAGACAATAAAAAAGGCCTACTACACAAAACAATTTGGATTACATGTATTGATATCTCCACAAATTTTGTCGAAGGCGCCGTATGGAAAATCTCAATTAAAGTAATTTTAAATATCAAACTATTTTCTATTCTTGGACACGTACGAAATATACATAAAATAAGCTTTCTTACTTACATTTTAGGAATAAAAAAAACTTAAAATATATAGCAGACCATCGAAATTGCAATATTTGATACAGCTAAACTAATGTTATCATCATCTACTTTTTGTTTTATGTGCTCCACAGAAAAGCGTAGTACATTTTCAGATGTCAATGCACGCTCAGTGGTGCCATTAGACGGTATTTTATGTAGGTTATAACAGTAGGGAACAAGTTGTAAATAATGAAGGAAGCAGCAATTGAACACAATAACATGTAAAGACTGTATACATAACGTTTCTCACAAAAAACGCTCGAGAAAATGAATTCTTTTTGAGCGCTAGTATATTCCCGAGCGCCAATAACATCAAGATCCTCCCCCCCCCCCCTCCTCCGCGAAAAGGGCGTTCGCTTTTTGTCAGCGCGCATTGCATGCCGGGTGCAATTACGTAGCGCCGGAAGTTGGCGTCGGCATGGTCTTCACAGTGTTCATTCGAAGAGTTAATTTTGCAGGTGAAGTGTTATTGCTGGCTGTGACGCTTTAGTCGCAGAGATAAAAGGTAAAAGCGACTCATATGACGAAGACAAGACGAAACAGCTTTCCTGTCTTCATCCTACATCCCGCTTTTCCTATTATCCCTGTAACTCACCAGCGCGCTCCAATTCGCCAAGCTCTAGTCACGTTTTATGGCACGGTAAACCTGCCGGAACAAGACGCCTGTACTACTGTATCTCGGTAAGAATAACATTCGCAGCACGGAAAAGGCGTGAGATTTGTACTCGCCGTAAGATCGTATAGTGTTGAAGTCGACATCGTCCCAAGACAGCGTCTTACGTGTTTCTCTTTTTTTTTTTTGAAATAAGACATTACGGAGTTTTAGAATAACGTATGCAATTTTAGCGCACGCTAGCGCTAAAGTTAGCGCTTCTGTTAGCGCACGCCGCACAAAAGCATTCTAAAATAGCATTTCTCCGCCGCGACGCAAAAGCCCAAGTATTTCGCCCTTGCAACGCTACCACGATACAGTAACGATTTTTATTTTTCTACGAAATGCTGTAACTTGAGAAAACAGAAGTTGTTTGGTCCAGAGTGACATTTTAGATTTGTTTAAACATGAGAATGCGACCCGAACGGTCAACCGGTTGTGTCTGCTTGCGTTGCCTCGGCAAGAGCAGTCTCCTGCACTGACCTACGACGAGAAACGTTCGTGCGTCACAAACAACAAGCTGCCGCTGATCGTTGTCCACCTTACTGGGTTTTCCAAACCAAGTGCTATGTCGCCCCGTACTGGAAAACGCAGTCGCGAGGATGTCGCCGACATCGCGCTCAGGATGCCGCCAAAGCGGCCGCAGCCATGGTCCTGGGAGCCGCCTTTTCAACCTGCGCTTGGCTTGGCTTTAGCCAACTTCTCACCAAGAAATTCCGTACGCACGCAATCTCCAAAAAATAGCGTACGCTAAAATAGCCCACGCAAAGCGCAACACGTGCTTAGCGTTCGGCGCATGCGCAGTGGCGACGAGGCTATTCTTTGCATAGGCAAAGCTTTAGCGTGTGCTATTCTAAAACTCCCTATATGGCGTCTATCATAAGTTGCCTGTCCGCTTGCTATTTCGGAGGCGCGGCTGAAAGAGTTGGCGGCAGTGGAGTAGCTGATGTTGCTCTACCGACTGCCTTTTTTGTCAGACTCCCTGCACTCGTCGTAGGAGCTTGTGCGGAAGGCAGGGAGTGGTCGCCATATTGACAAATGACGCAGCCATGGCTAGCGCACTTCGACGCAAGTATCTCAACCGGCCACAAGCTTGCGACACGGGGTTGATTCTATGCTTGGAATATTTTAATTTCTCAATTCGAACAAGAGCAGCCAGCATTATTTTTAGCACAGAAAGAGATTTATCAATCGATTTCTATGAGAAAACCGTCATAAAGGACCGTCACTGTGACGTGTCGTCAGCTTGGTGTCGCGTCATGACGTCTCACGATGTCGTTACGGCGACACCACCACGACGTCATAACGTCACACCGTGATGACGTCACCATGATAATATTACGTCGTGTGATGTCATACTGCCTTTTGACGCCTTAATATCACGCGCCTCTGTGACGTCACGTGATACAATGACGTCAGTTAACACCATGACGCCATGTTAAACCTCGATGTCAGATGACACCATGATGGCGTGGGACGACACAGTCGTGACCCAACGTCTTACACACACAGCATGTACCCAGCCCATTCACAACAGATTCGATGTTCCCGGTTTTTTCAATATGTCAGCTAGTGCAATTTTTATTTTGGCCATGACAAACAAGGCTTATTGAAATTATCTAGGCGTTAATAGCGGCCGGGACTATGCACAAAACGGTGAAATAAAAATTAAAGGCCAAAAAAGGTGGCCAAAGTTGAAAACAAATGATACGCGGATGTTTACAAATAAATCAAACTCGATGCCACGAGTAGCACACGCGCTGGGGATCACCGGGCGACTATTAAACTTACACACACCCAGTGTGGCGGTAACGCGTTACAAATAACGGTGTTACCGGTAACGTAGTAACGTATTCGTTACTTTTTTCAAATCAGAGGCGGGTAACTTACTATCGGTCTCGAATAAAATGCGAACGCTAGAGCCCGTAGCCATCGAGAATGCTACACCTCCTGGGGGCATCTGGAAACTGATAAGACTGCGGGGTGAAGAGTACAATCTGTGTGGAATATGTATTCCTCTTATGTGTCCTCCACAAAAATTTGTATTGAGGTGGGCCTGGAAACCCTGCAGGAAAAAAGGAGAATGAATCGTCTACAATTTCTCTACCTTATCGTTAACGACGAGCTTGGAGTAGACAAAGATGATTGATTATATTACATTTTTTTGCCCCAGGTCTACTAGGCATTTTCGCAGCAGAACAATAAAAGCATTTAGTTATGAGATTGATTGATTTTTCTACAAATCAGCCTGTTTCTTTAGGTCTAAACTTAATTTGAGCATCGTCACTCGCTGAGTTAACTCTGCATATTGGAGCAATTGACTTTGACAAGCGCTTTGGGGGGAACGTAAATGCACCCGATTTATAGAGTGCTCATATTTACGCCGTATATTCTTTTTTTACCTCTGTTAAATATATCTACTTATCACGAGTATAGCGTTTACAATCTACACGGCTGGGGGATGAACGCGGTCAGTGCACATCGGCCAGAGAGGCCGATGTATAAATTACAGGCTAAGAGAACACGCGCTCTCAATGACGCCATTCATTGTGGCAAATATGGGTGTGAACCGATATGGTACGAAGACACAGTTATCCTGGGTGTCTAGACATCAAACAACGAGGGAGATTTTCGAGGCGCACAACATATCGCGACGTGGAAATGGCGTTTGTGTAAGTTCGCTTTGATCGCTTTGTTCGATAGCGAACTGGCGTTCCTGGGGGCACGTCTATGAAAGTCATAGTCCATGACAAGGTAATAAGGATTGCGTCCTATTTATTCACGGCGGTCTTTATGTGTTGCTTTCCAATAAATTTCAGTTGAGAGTCAGCACTCTGCCTGTCTTCGCCTCCTCTTGTCCTTCGTCTTGCCCCTGGCGCTGTTTTATGTAAAACCAATTCGCCAAAATCGTTATCCTACTGCCAACAATGAAAACATTATCAGTTAACTATTTTCTCCGCGCAAGGGGGACACTACAATGTTCTCTAGGATTCTTCTATTACAAACCTCTATAAGCTGTTAACTTAAATAACACATGAACTGACCGGCGTAGGTGAATCCCAGCTTTGTGACTAACGTTAGGCGCACTGAATTACAGTCACTGATAAATTAAAAAAGCTGGGAGTGGTCTGTTGAGATCACACGCTTCATGCTTTGGGATTTTTTCTTCACTGTTCTTATCGGCTATTGTTACAACATCATTGGCCGCGGAGCGATGATGAGACACTCAACGCCTTGAGATTCTTTAGCTGTTGTTTACTGTAGTAATGAATCACTATTTGAGCGTGTTTTATATTAGTGGGGTGGTGTACCTACATCGCAAAGCCGACTTTCTATGGCTAATATTGGTTTAAGCCGCATTTGACAGAAAGCTTTGCACACACATGTTTGACTTGCAAGCTATCGTAGACAAACTAAAATACGCGTTTGTAACTGAAGACTCTTATTTTTAGGGTTTAATCCAGATTGTAACCTTCCTAAGGACGACGGGCCGTGCAGAGCAAGGATTCCAAGTTTCTACTTTGATAATGTTACCAGAACGTGCCATATGTTTATGTATGGTGGATGCGAAGGAAACGGAAATAATTTTGAGAGTCCAGAACAGTGCAAAGAGGAATGCGAAGGTAACACTCGAATAATGAATCGATTATTCAATCATTTAAATATGCTTAATTTGTGTTAATGCGTTCTTGATTATGGCATGTTTTATATTCGACACCAATTAGTTCTGTTTTCAAGATAGTAAACTTGGTCCGCATTTGTGGGGCTGAAAATGTTAGCATTGGTGAGTATATCGATTGGTGTTATTTATAATGGCCTATGTACAAGGAAAAGCAGTCGAGTTGGGATTGCTTACAAAAAAAAAGGTGTACGTAGATTTAAATATATACGGTATGTGTCCTGATGTGGAAGTGGCGTGTTGTTCACAATTTATGACGGAAGTAAGCGGCAGCCCTTGAATAATGATTCTATATCGCATATTACTCTACGCGTATTTCCCTGTAGTAAATGAATCGAGGCGTGCAGTATGACAATTCGTTTCTAAAATACTGTATAACGGAAGTAAATATATCACATCAACAAATAAGCACGAAATTCGTATGTAAGATGTTTCTTAAAATATGAATAAACATTTCTACATGTTTTAATAAGGCAAGCGTATATGTTCGCTAAGATTTATTTGTATTCTTTGCTGTTATACCAATAATGCCAGTTGTCGCTTTTGAGCGGCAGCTTTTATTCAAAATAGAAGTTGGTGACATGAATCCTACAGCGAATCCGTTAGGAAATCACCTATAAAGTTGTGAACAGAACGATACTTTTAATTAATTTGGCTACCTTTGTCTTAAGTGAAATACAGGCAGAGAAGTTATTTGTAACATTATATTAGCCTATTTCTACCTTAAAGATGAATTTTAGTGAAATAATATTGCAAACAATGTTTTTAATAGACATTTATCCGAGAACTGATAACAGCAGAGCATCATAACACAGTCGATCATCTGACATGTGAAGAATAAGACACCCTGTTTAACTACACCTCTAGATAAAATCTTAAGCTGATCGATACCTTGTAGTAAGGCCCATAAAACCAATCACCGATTGTTACCCATTAAGACAAGAAATCCGGTAACTACAGGTTTTCCCGCTTATTTTAATCCAAGCAACGGCCAATTTAATCCAAGTGCCACAAAATGTAATCCTTGCGCTTCCCAATTTAATCCCGGGGTTAGTCAATTTAATCCACAATATGCATATATGCACTTATTGCCTTCAGTGGTCGTGTTTTGCTTACACATTTGGTAACTTAGAACAATTGCTTATACAACTAGATTTTTTGGGGCACAACTGATTTTTTTATCCCTATTGTGATTGCCTGGAGTTAGTGGTCCCACTTTTGACGAGGCGTAATTGATTACTCTTTTTGTAACCTGGAGTTATTGTGGCACACTCAAATTTATTTTAGCTGAATGGACGTTTTGTTTAATCTTTCTTAATACTCAACATAACATTGCTAGAGTTCAGATGGTAGAAGTACAATTGCATTTTATGATTACTCTTTTTATTACTTTGTATTATTATTGCTCCAATTTATCTATATTGAACTCAGTTCACATTATTATTCCTCTTGATTACTTCGAGTTACTTTCAACCTAGTGGACTTGAATTCGACCGAAATGACATTAGGATGACTCTTTTCATTACTTTGAGCTTTTCATACACTTATTTATTATGAGCCTAATGTATATTGCAATTACTCTTGATTACTTTGAGTTACTTTGACCCAATGAATTTGTCCTATTTCACAATTTGTTAACTCTTCTGATTACTTTGAGGTCATATTCAACCAATGGACCTTTTCCACATACCGACGGCACCAGGCGGTGGCTGCACGAACTAAAAATCGAGGAAGTGACCTACCTGCGCTACCAATCGATAATGGGAGCTACGCCACCAGTTTCTTCGCTCTCTGAGTAGCGGCGCCTGTCCAACGCGACTTTAAAGAGGGGCATCCGTGGCGTCCACCCAAACGGCGTGTTTTCCTTTCCGTCGACGTTCTTTTTTGTGTAACACAATTATATATATGCTGCAGTTGCGTGTTCTACTCGCTGCTATACAGCCTCCTTCCGAATTTCCTCGATTTTTCGCACCGACTTCCGTCGCTTGGCATCGGGCGCTCGCGCGTGCGCAGAACGCTTCTCGGAAAAGGTCCATTGGTCTTTTAACTGCTTGATTCAGATTTTTATTGCTCTTTTGTCCCAAATAATCTTAATTTGACTTAATTGACATTGTGATGACACTTGATTATTTTCTGCTACTTTTCAGCTAATTGATTTATTTTTAGCATAATTGACATGATGATTAATATTTTCTGACTACTGACCCAATAGGCTTTAAATCTGTCCAATAAACATATTGGTGACAATTTTGAGCACTTGGAGTTATTGCGCCACCAATTTAACTATCATGAGCTCAATTTTCATTGCTATTACTCTTGATTATTTCAAGTTACTATGGACCCAACAAACATTAATTGGGCTTAATTGGCAGTTTAATGACTCTTAACTGCTTTGAGCTAATGTCAAACCCATTGCGTTCTTATGAGCTAAATTTGCATTATGATTACCCTTCTGATTGGTTTGAGCTGCTAATGACCCAGTACACCAGTCTGCTCAACAGTCTGGTGACTATCTTGATTACTTTGGGTCAGCCAAGCCAATAGAGTCAATTTAATAATTATTAGTTAAATCGATAATTTGATTACTTTTCCATTACTTCTGTTACTTTTGAGTTACTTTATACTTCACTTGAACTACCGCGGAGACCAGAGGGCGACGTCAGACAAGAAGTCCTTCCAGTGAGCCCTGCTCCTCGTCCGACGGCTTCCTTTGGTGTCCGCGATACTTCCGAGGTGAGCGAAGTATGATTCCGATATTAATAGAAAAATGTGAAAGCCGTTTACAACTCCCTGTAACGCCGAATTAGAGCGCAGCTCTTGAGGAGGAGGAGGGAAGGGTACTGGGGGGGTCAAGTGACCGGAGGGGGGTCACGTGACTTGGGGGTCACGTGACGATGACAATGCCGATGATGTCATCAGTGATGTCACTGATGACGTCATCAGTGACGATGACAATGCGGATACCGATGACGTCATTTGTGACGTCACTGATGACGTCACCAGTGATGATGACGATGACGATGCGAATGTCGGTGACGTCATCAGTGACGTCATCTGTGATGATGACGATGACGATGCGCATGCCGGTGACGACATCAGTGACGTGACTGATGACGTCATCAGCGATGATGACGATGACGATGCGGATGCCGGTGACGTCATGAGTGACGTCACTGATGACGGTATCAGTGATGATGACGATGCGGATGCCGGTGACATCATCAGTGACGTCACTGACGACGTCATCAGTGATGATGACGATGGCGATGCAGATGCCGGTGACGTCATCGGTGACGAGGACGTCATCGGGGGGGCTCACGTGACCTCAGGGGAGTCACGTGACCTTGGGGAGGGGGTCACGTGACCTCGCGGGAGGGGGAGTCACGTAACCTCCGGGGGTCACGTGTCCTCCGGGGGTCACGTGACCTTGGGGGGTCACGTCACTTTGGGGTGACCTTGGAAGGGGTTACGTGACCTTGGGGGTCACATGACCTGGGGGTCACGTGACCTTGTGGTGACCTTGGGGGTCATGTGACCTTGGGTTGCCCTTGGTTACGCCGACGGCGACGGCGACGCCGCTCAAGCCGGAAACGGGCGCCTAACCGCCGAATTCAGAAACCTTACTCAAACTACACTCAAACTGAAGGGCCTCTCCACTTCCTCGAGGAAGTTGAGGGGCCCTTCAGTTTGACTGTAGTTTGAGTGAGGTTTCTGAATTCGGCGGTAAGAGCTGCGCTCTAAAATGTAGAGCCCTTCCACTTTACGGGAAGGTGGAGGGCCAGCGAAGCTATTTTTACGACGTCTAGGACGATGCCTAGAGGACGACGTCTAGGACGACCTCAAACGTGACGCCTAGAGGACGACATCTAGGACGACCACAAGGACGACGTCTAAGACGGCCTCAAGGACGACGTCCAAGGCGACCTCGAGGACAATGTCTAGGACGACCTCGAGGAAAATGTCTAGGATGACCTCTAGGACGACCTCAAGGAGGACCTCACGGACCACATCTCGGACGATCTGAAGGATGACGTCTAGGGCGACCTCGAGGACAACTTCTAAAACGACCTCAAGAACGACGCCTAGAGGATGACGTCCTCTAAGCTTCGTCCTTGAGGTTGTTTGAGAGGTTGTCCTTGAGGTCGTCCTAGAAGTCATTCTTGAGGTCGTCCTCGAGGTCGTCTAAAAGTTATTTTTGAGGTCGTCCTAGACGTCGTCTTTGAGGTCGTCCTAAACATTGTCCTCGAGGTCGTCCTAAAAGTCACCCGTGAGGTCGTCCTAGACGTTGTCCTCGAGGTCGTCCTGGAAGTCGTCCTAGAAGTCGTCATGAGGTCGTCCTAGACACTGTCCAAGAATATTGGGACAAAAGAGTGGAGAAACAACCCGATATTATGACGCTCCGTCAATCATGTTTTGCTCCAGGAGCTGATCTCGGGGATCAAATCTGACGCTTTCTGGACGATGCACGTATTATATTTTATCGCTGCCAAACAGCAGAAAATTAGGTTCGTCCAGCCAGACACCTTTCTCCCCTTCGTCAGGAGTCCAGCTGAGTTACTTTTTCGTCCACTTTAACCGCGATGCCCGGTTCTCTATTGCTCTCAATTGGATTCTTAGCTGGCCCACAGGGATTTAGTCCAGCAGCTCCCAGACGACGTCTCACCATCCATCGAGACACCGTGAATCATGATCCCTAATACACAATTTTGAGAATGTCGACGGTCGACAGTCGAGGGTCGACAGTCGAGGGTTCGTGTGGCTTGCCGGAATATAATGTTCCTATTGATCAGATGGGACGTCGACCTGGGTCGTCCTGGAGTTTACTCTTGAGAATTTCAGAAGCCGTAGCTTGTGCTACTCTGAGTTCCCCAGAAAGATAATGCTGCTTCAGCTCAGCCTGGTGGCCACGGATAATAGCATTAAGATCATTTTCTGCGAAGTTCC